CAAGTTTATCTATACTTGGTGCAGACGTACGTAGCGCCCTTCTCTTTCTGCTAATGAAGGAAAACTTTATCACTTATCAGAGACCGGTCATAAGATTCTGCTATCATCTGTTTTTGTGCAGCTTAATTTGTTAGAAAACATTGGTTACTTATTCCTGGTTGATGAATATTAATGATTTTAAGTGGTTAGTAAAATGTATATTGTAATACTGTACATCAAAAACAACACGATATATATATATATTGATAACAATTAACAGTTAACATTACTACTGTAACAGTAAAGCTTATATTTAACCAAACAAAACTCATAATTATTAATAATATTACTGTACACAAGGTATATTTACCAATTGCTACTTCTTGTGACCTTTTCAATGCTTTTCAGTAATTTGTTATTGTTCTACAGTAGGAATAGCATCATGCATAAGACTTTTTGTTAGTTGTTGAATTGATTGATTTTAAAGTAATTTGAGCACACTCAACAATTAGTATTCATAAGATTTCTTTCTCGGGTCATCTCGTCTTATACTTTTCACCCATTCTTGACTTTTATAAAAATAATAGTAGTGTATGAATTATACACTATTATACTATATACCTAGCCTAGGCTCGCCTATCCCCTACATAGTCTAGGCTTCTTGCTGGCTACAGAGTAGGTAGCTAAGGACTGTACTGCTTTTAGGCCCTTCGGAGTCATTGTTAGGCCTAGGGCCTAGGCCTATTCTCTAGCTGAATGTAGGAATAAAGCCACCATTGTCCAAAGCCACCCAACAGTGGATTATACTATTGTAAGGTAGGGGTGGACAATGAGGTGTCTGTCTTGATGGTGGTCTACAATAGGTTTCTGCTGCAGTGCTAGGAGTGTCTTTGTATCAGCTTTTGTGTATTATGAATTAGAAACTGGGTATAGTCTACATAGGCATAAACAATCGATTTTTATGCCCACCTCTGCCTTAGACCAAATAATTGTATATTTTGGTTCTAATAAAATGTGAAAAAAAATAGTCTGAAATGAAAAAAAAAGAACTTGTAACATCAATTTTATACAATAAAGGCGAAATTATCAATCAAGTATCTTGACCTTGACCAAACTCTCGAATTCTGCTACTGGAATGGAAGCAATTAGCAAAATAAATTGTAAACTTAAATTTCTGTATATAGGAAAAAAAATGTTCTTACCCCTAATGCTATTAAACTGATTTTCTCTTCCCTAATAATCATCATTATCATTATCATTTCGATTATGGGTGTTGTATATCAGGTACTCCTGTGTAAATGAATTTATTACAAATAGACTTCAAACGTTGAACTTTGAACCATGTGTTTGTGTAGGCACAAATAAATTTACTAAACTCAATTGGCTACCAATCAATCTTCAAGAAAGGAAAGCTAATAACATTTACAAAATCATAAATTGAATTGCTCCAACTTACCTAAATACAGTTAACACACACAATCACAATACAAGATTTTCAAGGAACAGTCTTTCACTCCAAATACCAGTTATTTATAGGACTCACAACAGGTGCATCTATCAAATTACAGCCATCTAAATATGGAGTACTACAGTGTTACATCATGATACCATGCTATTCCTGTCTCTTATACCCATCTTCATGGTTAAAAAATAAGAAAGCATTAAAATTTATTTCTTCCACCATAACCAATAATGCCAATGAGGTAGCAGAGACTCCTCATGCCAAAGCTAGTATGTTTAATAACTATTTTGTTTCCAACTTTTCAGACTTTAGGGATGCTGAACCGGCGGTGCATCAATGTCTTCTTGAAGTAAACGCTGATGTCCTGAACAACATCAGTATTCCTGTTCAGTTATCTACAACTCAATATCTCATACTCATTCTATTAGAATAGTCCGGATTCATAACAAATTCATGAAGTTCATTGGCCCAGCTGCCAGTTCACTTAGTTGCGAAAAATTTTTACCATCGACTAGACGAAAACGAAACTATTTTATTTTTCTATTTAAATGTTTGAACTGTAAGTTTGATTGTAACCTTGTGTCAAATTTTTATTTTCATTTTCCTGTGCGTAGACTTCGTACCAATCATTTGTTAAAAGTTCCGTACTCTCGTGTTAATGTTTGTACTAATGGTATTTTTCGTCGTGTTGCACTTTATATAATAATCTAGTTCAAATTTTTCCTAATATTGATATTTTTAATTGTAATATTTCCATTTTTAATCTTATACTAAATACCGGTTTTTAATATATTATTACGATTTTTTTATGCTTTTTATGTTTTTTAAAAAAAATCATATATTTTTATGAATGATATTGTATATTTTTATGGCGACTCTGTTATTGGTGTTTTTGAAACACTGTTGAGTCTTGAATAAATAAATAAAATAATAAATAAATTTGTGGCCAATTTCACGGAAGCGGAATCACAATTTTCCAGAAATTCAATCCGGGTATTGGTAAACCCCACAAACAATCGGTTGATATGAACATCAAATTATTATTATTTTTTAAGAAAAAGAGAGTTCTACAATCATAGTTAAAGGGTTTGGATGGGGTTCGCAGTGTTTAGAGGTTTGTGGTGTATTTGCAAGTATTTTTTCACCAAAAAAAATCAACATTTTAGCCAAAAATAGGTTCTTATGAATATTTAATTTTCTTATTGATATACCAAGTGAGTGAATCACAATTGAATTGTTTGGTTTTCTACAGTGTGTTTTGGGAGGTTTGTGGGATTTAGTAATACCATTATTATAGTAATAATATCAGATAATAATAATTAAATACTTGGACCTAACAGCCACCCATACAAAAAAGATCTATTAATTAGTCAATCAGCAGGGTACTCCTAGAGCTACTCATAGGAGCTAAAAATTAAGTTATTTTAGTTCTCAAATATGCATATGGTTTATGTTGATTTATTAATTCAATTTTTTGCTACAAGGTATTTTACAGCATTTAAAATTTTTTTATTTTTTTTATTTTATAATTGAGGGCCATTTTTTATTTATTGATTCAATTCTTGCTTATTACAGTATTTAAATATTTGAAGATTTGAAAAAATATATCATTTCCATTACTGAATTTTTTCATTGGGGCCATTTTTACCGGGGCCATTTTTACCTACAACCATTTCGAGGGCATCAACGATATCAATGAAATTTTTAGTCTTGCAACTTGTATTTTAGATCAACAAATGCAAAATAATGAAACATGTTAACGACATAGAATCAGCCGTTGTTTGTGAATTGTTATATGCTGTTAGTGCCGCTCTATTATAGTCGAATAGTGATGTTAATTATTGAAACTAAATTAAGCAAAGACTCAATCTGTAAATCAATGGTTAATAGATAATAATTTATCGCTCAGACCACAGGTGGGTAACTGTGGCCTGCGGGCAACTGTTGCAGCCCGCAACAGTGAATTAAATACCCTATGTTTGCGGCCCGCCAATCAAAATTGGCTAGAAAACCCCTTGTTTTTTACGGCCCGACACCAATCATATGTAAAAAGTAACATTAGAACTGAGAATAAAGTGATGTAAAAGCAGTGCTCGGAAGTTTTGGAAGCTCACTGGAAACATCAAAGTTTGGGTGTGGCCCTCTGTGTTAAATCAAAAATTCACTTTGGCCCTCCGACCGATTTTTATGCCCACCTCTGCCTTAGACCAAATAATTGTATATTTTGGTTCTAATAAAATGTGAAAAAAAATAGTCTGAAATGAAAAAAAAGAACTTGTAACAGCAATTTTATACAATAAAGGCGAAATTATCAATCAAGTATCGTGATCTTGACCTTGACCAAACTCTCGAATTCTGCTACTGGAATGAAAGCAATTAGCAAAATAAATTGTAAACTTAAATTTCTGTATATAGGAAAAAAATGTTCTTACCCCTAATGCTATTAAGCTGATTTTCTCTTCCCTAATAATCATCATTATCATTATCATTTCGATTATGGGTGTTGTATATCAGGTACTCCTGTGTAAATGAATTTATTACCAAATAGACTTCAAACGTTGAACTTTGAACCATGTGCTCGTGTAGGCACAAATAAATTTACTAAACTCAATTGGCTACCAATCAATCTTCAAGAAAGGAAAGCTAATAACATTTACAAAATCATAAATTGAATTGCTCCAACTTACCTAAATACAGTTAACACACACAATCACAATACAAGATTTTCAAGGAACAGTCTTTCACTCCAAATACCAGTTATTTATAGGACTCACAACAGGTGCATCTATCAAATTACAGCCATCTAAATATGGAGTACTACAGTGTTACATCATGATACCACGTGATACTACTCCATTGCTATCGTTGCAAAATGTGTTCAGTAGGACGCCATTTTCTCCACTGACAAACATTGATCCCAATTTCTAACGTAATTATTAAGCTGTTGCATCTTAGTTTTTCTTTGTAGATTTTAATTGATGATTAAATGTGTGTTCGATAACTAATATCATTGTGTTTTTAGTATATTGTGATGGTAAAATATTTGATTTTAAGATGCCTATTCCAGAAAGCCTACAGGCATTCAGGCGTAATGAACGGTAACCAATGTGTTGTTGACAACAGAGGGCGCTACCTGGCGTTATGACGACACAACTGTGGTACTCTATAAAATTCACTTCCTATTTTAATTCAAAGTCCACCCTCAATTTAATTATTTAAAAAGAAATGTAAAAAAATATAATAATGAATTGTTAACATTACATGATGTATAGTATTTGAATTCATTGTATTGTATAAATGTTAGATTTATATCGTTTGGTTTGTTTTCGTTTGATTGTTTCTTTTTCTGTATTTAATATTTAATATTTTAGACCACAATGGAAATAACTTTGCCAGTTCGGTACTTTATTGTGATTTTATTATTTAAATATTATGTTTGTATTTAAATATAGAAATAAAACAATAAATAGGATTATGCTCATGAAAGTGATGTGCATGAAATAAATCTAATATAATCCAAAATAGATAAAGTAGTATCTAAAATGTATATTTTCTGTAGATTTTTAGTGGAAACACGGATCAAAACACAGAGGTGACTCAAATGTTCAAATCTGCTATTGACGCTCAATTTATCCGCATCAGTCCAGTCACTTGGAATGTAGATCCCGCTCTAAGAATTGAGATTCTTGGTCCATGTCAAGGTAAATTTGTATGATCTATTTGAGGATTACTATTCATTTCATTATTCCGCTTGTTGTTTTCTGGGTTTTTCCCTTATGCCTTAAAATCACTTACATATAATAATATAAGTATGTCATTCATGTTCCAGCAAGATGAAAATTATGCACAGAAAACGGCATATCTTATGAATCATTAGTAGTCTAGTCACATGCGATAATAATGTTATATTAGCATTGTGACGTCGGAACCGATAAAAGGAATTCAGATTCTATCGGCGCTTGGCTCACCACAACGCCTTCGTGGTCAAGTGGTTATGAAGTTCGCCATATATGCGAAAGGTCCTGGTGTAATGACGCTGATATTTTAATAAATACTATAATAGTACAACAACTTCTACTGGGTGCTTTTCTTCTCTATTCATACAGGAAAACTATTCACAGTATCTCAGCTCCGCAGAGCACAACTCGCATTGTTCCCTTTCTCACCTGCGTTGCTTTTGTAACAATCTATATTTTAACCTTGTGCATAGATTAATAATTGAATAATACCTGAATGACAAAAGTGCCAAATTTGGTACAGATATTAGTATGGGCATATAATTTTAAAAATTTCTGGGGCCAAAAAGAAAATTAAATTTTTTGATGTAAAAAAATGAATTTTTGGTGTAAAGAATTTAATTTTTGGTGTAAAAAATTGAATTTTTTGAAAAAAATTATGGTTTTTAATATTTTGGTATTTTTGACTATTGTAGTACAAGGCCTACTTGTACAAACAGGTTTAGAATCCATATGGTCATTCTTTTGTCACAAATAAGCAAATAAGAATGAAATACTTTTATCAAAAATTTTGTCAAGTTTTGTCATCTGTGTAACGATTCTTCCATAGCTTTACGTTAAGGCACTCGACTATAATAACTCTTTCTACTTAAATTTGCTGGTTGTGTTTAACTAGATGTTTTCTTTTCGGTTGGATTCGACTCACAACAGTGCAATATTTTGGCCTTAATGTAAACAAAAGGCTTATACATACGTGGGAGCATCTGTAAATCAATAGATTAGTGCCAAAGTGCGAGCCAGCGAGTCATGCAAGCCAATGCACGAGTCATGAGAGACAGCGAGTCATTAGAGACAGCGAGCCATGCGAGCCATAGATTTTAAAAATTTATTTTTTTAGGTTATCCAGTTTTGCAAACACGTAGGCTTAGCCTATATTCTTTGGCCTAGTAGATGCAATAACACACCGCGGAGCTTTGCCTGTGTACTCCAGTCATGCGCAGTACATACACTTTTGAACTTGGTTACTTTTTCGAATCGTAGATCCGAAAGTATGCAGCGCTGATAGATGTTGTTAAAATACAGATACACAGATACATACATACAGATATATTTATATATATATACACTGTATTTATTTATATATTTATATATATATATATTATTTTATATATACTGTATTTATTTATATATTTTTATATTTATTTGTATATATATATATATATATTTATATT